CTGTACATGGAATACATGTATTCAAGCCAAGCGGTAGCCCGTCAGGCACATCAACCCCTGGACAGGCTCCAGCAGGAGGCCAGTGATCATTCGGCTTTTTTTGGGGAGCTCGTGGCTAGTTATGAGTCACGAATAATCATGTGCAGCAGCACGAGACCTCGGGTTGAAGCTTGCAGGTCGAGGGCCTCATGCGATTGCGCGAGCAGAGTCAGAAGGCAAGGCTTTGGAGCACAAAGCTGCCTTTGCTTTGTCGGCTCGGGGACTCGCTTCATGCCTGTGCCATCCATCCGCGATTCGGTAGCAGCGCGTGGCATGCGTAGCAACTTAGAGTTGATCCTGGATTCGCTTGTCATGTCGCCTTTGAGCGGGCGGTGTATCTAAAAGAGCACAGATTCAGCCTCTTTCATGCAGGACATGTTTTATCCGTGAGGTTGCTGCATCCTCGAGGTATGCGCCTGAAGCCGAAGGCTGGCTTGACGTCGTGCAGTCAAGATGCCGTTAGTTGGCTTGACAGCGGTTGAGAACCGCACACAAAGTTCTAGGTTTAGGAGTCCTTCAATGTCGCAGGAGGTGAAGCAGCTGAGACAGACGCAAAACATGCGGTCTCCATTGCGGAGGCGGCGGTGGTTTCAGACAGGGAAGATAGCTGAATGGCTTAAGGTTCATGGCTTCTCGGAAGTAGAAGTACTGGCAGGTGCTTGACGACCGGGGCTCCAGGTTGAATGTTTACCATTACTAGACCATTACTGTCAATGCAGTCGCAGCTGAAGGGGGCATCGTAGGTCTTGGAGAGTGCGGGGTTGCCACTGTCGTTGGGTCATTGCATCATGTCACCTTTGACCACCACTGCCCGAAAAGCAAAAGATATTGCCCGACGTCTTTGGCGTTTGCTCAGGCTCTCCTGGAGGAGGAGAACAAAGAGCTGCGCGAGGCATCTCTGCTGTAGACAAAGATCGAAGGTTGTTTTGTATTTTGACGTTCAGTGACTTATAAGTAGACGATATGACCGCAGCCATGCGTGTCCCTGTTGTGGGGCCATGCCGTGGACTTTCACCGTCATCACCGGGAAGTCAGAGCCGAGAACCCACCATCGCGAAGTGCTGCGAAACCTGCTACCTTGTGATCTCACATCAGAATTTGTGAACATGAAGGGTGGCACTGTGAAAGTGAACGGTGACATCGATGCATGGACGGTCACTGGATGTAATTTCCTGAAGTCAGAACTGACAGCTGCTCAGCAAGGTGGATTCAACGAGCGATGCCAGAGCATGGATGGCGTCACGATTAGGATGGAGGATGGCCCGAGGTGATCCTCGGCGACACCCGCAAGAAATTCCATGAAGATAGCCTCTACACCGTCGACCAGAATTATGAAGCATTTGCGGATGCGCCCACGTGTTGAGTGCAACATGTTTAATTGTAGTTTTCTGCCTGCACCAGGTTCCGGCTCAGGACAATACTGGGCACTAGGATTGCGCCGCGCTGCTGTTATTTGCAGCTCCTTGGGTTAGATTTCAGGCGTGGCCCACGGTGCACGGTCTTGGGGTCCAGAGTATGAAGACCCCTTTGTCTGATCCAACACGAACACAAGTCTTGTACGTCACCTCGCCTATGAGCATAGACCCCAGCCATGCGAGAGGGAAAATATCAAACACGAACGCTGTGCGGCCTGTGGGCCCGGAAAACAAAACGTGCGAATTCATTCAAGTGTTGGTTATCGAGGCCGCTTTGCATGACTTGTACATGGACACAACGAGGGTCAGGTTCCAGGGTCTACTTAGTCGACGTTTTCGTCTCTGTTGCGGACACATGCGATGTGGTGTGTCGGTTAGGCCCTTGCGAATCGCCGCAAGCAGTCTCTCGGCAAGGCGGGCCCTGCTTCGCCCAACAGAGGTTTGCAATGCCGATCGAATGCTTTTTATCATGCACCTGGAGTTTTGTGGTTCATGAAGTTCAATGTTTGGGAGAGCCGCCGATCTCCGGGTCGTGTCCCCGCTAATTGCTGCCTTGTCACCGACGCACCAGGGTTCAAACAGTAGGGAACAGTTTTTCAGGATTCGTTTCGCAAAGCATGGGAAAAGGCCAAGTCGACTAGTTGCCGCACGAGATCTTCAATCCGTACTTTATGTTACAACAAACCCACGAGCGATGGAACGTATTCTTCCGGACAAGTGATGTATCAGGTTTGGTTGGCTGAGCCTCGTGTAATGATGGAGGTCGGCAGTACCTCAGAAAACAAGAACCCCTTCGAACTTGTCGTACAACAGTTTTTGTTTCGCGAGTCGAAGTGCCAGTTTCCCATCGAAACGCCATGCTCCGCCTCCAGCAATCAAGGCTCTCTTCGACTCGTAATTTGCAGGTTTCAGGTAGCAGGCACAGCAGCGGCCATGAGTTCTGCCACATTCAGTCAGGCATCTCTGCTCGAGAGCAAGGCGGCGAGCTCCAGCTCTACCCACCGTGCGGGACCCAATGATCGTGAATGTTCGGCAGCAAAGATCAGCAAATCTGCAAGCACTTCTGAGCCGCCTATGAGCCCGGCCCGAGGCCAAGCTGGTTCTCGGATTGCAATCCGCCCGATTACTGTCCCACCGATGCTTGACTGAAGGCGAGGCCTCGCCGGCCACAGCCGCAGATGCCCATCGCTCAGAGCACAGACTTTGGCATGAAGCTTTGTGGTCCGACCTCGGATTCCGACACTGAGAGTCCAAGCTGCGAACTACTTTCATAGGTTGGGCGGGTGTTTTGCAGCGCGCCGTCAGGCGTCCTCGTGGAATCTGGTGTTGCTTCTGCAAGCCGCCATGGTCTGCCGAGCCCGATTGTCAATAGGTTCAGTGGCTGAGTGCTTTAGTGGAATCCTGTGACATTCCCTGCGGCGCTGTCTAATTCATTGAGCAAGCTCTAGCCACATCAAAAGGCTTCAGGATGATTCGCACACAAGAAAATGCTAGCTAAATTCCGATGCAGCCTTACTGGGATGGGCTGGCGTACAGCATGCACTGTGCAGTGCACAAGATGAGCCATCTAGCACTACAGGCATCACCGCCCTGGTGTGATTAGTGCAAAGCCGTTTTTCTTTGCTTCCAGGTGATCGTGGGACTGGCATTGGGTGCTCTGTTTTGGACCATGCAGAGGGCTGATAGGCGAGAGGCCCAGTTTCCAACTTCATGGCTCACAATTCTGCAACTTCAAGACATCGTGGAACCCACATGCAGAACGTTGGAGATGCTATGGGGGACCCATGGCATGGCAAGCTACATCGCGAGAGAAGCTCAGCCACTGTGGGCGTGCAAAGGAGCTACTGTTGCCAATCCGAGCTTCTTTGCCTGCGCGTGGATGAACACTATAGAGCTTCCTACGGAGGTCGAATCTGTAAATCAGCAGGCCGCACTTTGAGCTGCTCTGATGCTCTGCGGATATTCTGTGGCTGATTGGGGGGGGGGCATGATGCACATACTGTTCGGCGGATGCTCGTCTCTACGAAGTCTGATGATGATGGACGCCGCGGCTCCGTGCAACGGCCCATACCCACAACACGTCTACAAACATGTGCTGCAAAAAAACAAGCCTGGTTGTGTTAAAGCATGTGCTACGAGTGATACTGAGAAGTTTGTAAACTTGAGCAAGCTTTCTGGTTGCCAAGGGCGCGGGAGGTGCGCATCTCGAAGCTGAACCGGCCCAGGCGCACGAAGTCTGATAAGTTTGACCCTCCGTTTGCATTTGTGTGCTTTCCTTGAGTTCACAGCTTCAAAAATTCCCTTCTCTAAGCCAAGTCAGGCCTCGCTTGTGACAAGCGTTACTCGGGATCTTGAACTTGTGTCGCATTCGAAGATCCACGAAGATCTGGTCAGGTATGGCAGCCAAGAGTCAGAACCACGAAGCCTGGCCCATGCCCTGGATGAGTTGAAATTTAGTCTCTGGGCTCAGACGTTTGTCTCGCCCAGAGGTCTTGGGAACTAGTCGTGTTTGTCGTCCCTGCAAGTAGCATCAGTTCATCGCGGTTGGCTGGCGATTGTGCGTTCTCCCAGAATATGACAGGGTTCGCAGGACTTCAATGATTCGATTCTGCTGGAAGGGGACAGATGGCTGGCAGCCTGCTGTGATTCCAGGCCAAACCCAGTCGACTACCTGCGGGTGTTGTGGATGAGGACGAGGAGGAGCCATGCTGCCTCGAAGCTTGAACTTTCAAAACTTGTCTGGATTGACTCTATCATGTGCCTTGTGCTTCAACTCCCTCAGTCTCGAGGAGGCCGTGGTCTCTGCCGTTCCTGCAGAGCTGCGCTTTGCGCCGCCAAGAGAGGCTTGGAGACGTCTGAAACAGGGATGATTTCCTGTGGTTGCCATGATTGGAGATCGCATGATCTTGTATTTCTGTCGCAAGGGTATTCTATTTCTTTTCGGAATGGTGTCTTGTGCTATGCTCTGCGTCGAAGCCACGCAACAGACGCCGTTCTGGCTTGACTACTGCATGAAGACCGTTCAGTCGTGCTGAGGTGTTGCAAGGTCAGGGTCCTGTTGCAGTAGTCATCCTGTGAGTCGAGGTCTGGAGCCGTGCCTGAACAAGATCGATCCCTTCAAAAGGAGGCCAAAATGCGACCAGGGAAGTGCAGATCTGACAATAGCAGCCACCCTTCTTCCTTCTGGCAACCTCGAGCATTAGTTGGAAAGTTTCAGGCATTGCCACCCTGTTCGTGCCCAGCAGGAGAGAAGATGGAGATGTTTATCGCGCTGAAATTGGACGGCGCACGGAGGTAGACAAAAAAGACGCGCCCCATGCAAGTGTAGCCGTCCGGAAATGTCGGCTGGCCATTTGCAAATGTTGAGCCGCCAGTGGCCCACAAACACGACACTGGAGATTCAGGGGTCGCAGTCCTTAGTGGATAGTTTTGTGATCGCAAGTTTTGGTGTATTTCCCTTAGACTTCCACTCCTCGATCGCAACTTCCAGCAGTTGCTCACCTCGGCCGCCACGGTGTTACCGCACGCTTTCGCGAAGTGACCGAGGCGATGCCTTCAGCCGTACCCTGAGCCACGGCTTCGGGGAGGTTCACGCTTGGTGAGGCTATGTTTGGTGCAAACCCTAAGCAGGTGGAAGCTGCAGCGACACTGCCGCAGCCCCGGGCCAGTGTGACCAGAACGGCACGCTCACACAGACAGACAGATAGATAGATAGATAGATAGATATATAATACCATGTAATATAACAGAATACAATAGTATGTGTTATATAGATATACATATATTATCATATTGATAAAACAAGGCATTCCATCATGGCAATTCTATACTTGTACACACATTTATAATTATGTATGTACGTAGATGCACATGTATATATATATATATATATATATCTCAAAGATGTTATATATACAGATATGTATACACATGTATATACATTAAAATAGGTATGTAAAATAGGAAAATAGTGTACGGCAATATATCATAATTTAACGCAGCCGGATATAAGAAAATAATGCATGATATAGCTTAAAAAAGGCAATGCAATATACCATGCCCTCCCCGAGAAGACTTCGTCAACTGTCACTGCGTGAGTTTCTGGCCCTCAGATCGGCCATGGGCGACCCTCACGAAGTTATCGAGGTGCTTGATAGCCAGCCATGACAGACCACGAATCTAGAATGCTTTTGCCAGGTCTACAGGGTTCTGTTGCACTGCAGGAACAGCTGGTGATAATCAAGCTGACGTCCTGCCAGCTAGCATTTTCTTCCAAGCATTGCGTTTGTTTCAGCCAGGAGCCTCCAGTGCACCACACGCAGAACCTTGGATCCCCAGGACTGGACCCTAACCCCACCATCCCCCATTCTATACAGGGTAACCGGAAAGACTGGACCCTGGCTCCCTCAACCCTGTGGTGTAGAGCCCGGTGTTCATTCTTGTCCAGGATATATATATATATATATGTATATATATATATATATATATGCTCGCCCCCCCCCCCCACGGTGGTTCTGGGGAGTGGGGAGAAC